AAGGCCTTCCGAAAGTCCAGAAAGACTATGTTCACTGCTACCCCCGCGTCTAAGGATTTGGTGACCTGGTCATAGAAGACACCGGGTTGGTCTGACAGGACCTGCCTCTAATGAACCCATGTTGGTTGCCCCTAAGCATAATTTCCCCTGCTGGCCCCTCGTGGTGTCTGCCAAAAACTGAATCATCACAAAATCAGAAGCTGTTCAAAAATAATTTGCAAACAACATAAGTTCATAGTAGCTAGGGTCAGGAGGGACCTGAACAGATCATCTAGCCTGACCCCCTGCCACAGGCAGGAATAAATGCTGGGTTCACAAGACCCCAGATAGGTGATCATACAACCTCCTCTTGAATTTGCCCAAGGTAGGGGCGAGAACCACTTCCCTGGGAAGTTGGTTCCAGATTTTGGCCACCCTAACTGTAAAATATTGCCTTCTGATCTCTAACATAAACCTATTCTCCATCAGCTTATTACCATTGTTCCTCATCACCCCAGGTGGTGCTGGGGAGAAAAGGGCTCTACCTATTTCCTGTTGATCTTCCCTGATAAGTTTGTAGGCAGCCAGCAGGTCCCCCCTCAGCCTCCTCTTGCCGAGGCTGAACAGGTTCAGGTCCCCCAGTCTCTTCGGAAGGCCTGTCCTGCTGCCCTCTCACCAAGCGGGTGGCCCTCCTCTGACCCCTCTCCAGGCTGGCCACATCCCTTTTGAAGTACGGTGCCCAGTACTGGATGCAGTACTCCAACTGCGGCCTGACCAAAGGTCTACATTTGTTAAATAGGTCTTCATTTGTTAAATAAGTATATGACATAAAAGGTCTACATTTGTTAAACAGGTTTCATTGCTGCAAAGCAAATAGCACAAGGTAAGGCCACAATGTATTTCTAATTATCAAAATGTTATAGGATGGACTTTAATCCACAGCTGAAAAGACTTTTTTTAATAGGGAGGTCCATGTTACAAACAGCTGCACTGCTCTAAGCGATCCTACTTTGAAAATATAGTGTTCATTCTGGCTTGGTGCACATGCTATCAGTGTGCAATTGAGGTGAATTAAGGGTCAGTTGTGGACTAGGACTTTACAGCTTCACAATCGATAACTGAGCTCACAGCAGGCTGATCAAGTAATTGCATATGTGGTTTTGTCAGAAAGACAAATGCGAAGAACCATCAGGCCTTTGATCTGATGGTTAACTGAGCTGGATTATGACAAAATATCCTGCTAACTTAAGGATAAAGAGGCATGAGTATTTGTCAGACAGCAAGCAAAGCACAGCTTATGATTTGGATCTCTGAACTGAAGTACATCAAACAAAATTGTCTTGTTTATAGCAGAAAAAAATACCTCCCATGGAAGAGCAAGTGGAATTGAAGTTTCATACAAATATTTTGAAAGCAAATCCGAAGAAGTGGACAGTTCATGCCTAAATTGTCTCCGAGTCAGTATAGACTAAAAAGGTTGTATATGGAACAAAAACAGAAGTTAATTTTTTTCCACAGTGTCTAAGGCCCAAATGTCCATGTTGCTTAAATAAATTTTAATAAAATCACTAAATTTAACCAAATAAGGCAATACATGTAAGTACGGTAAACTGTATAGAAAAAAGCCATCTAAAATTGCAGAACTAAGTTGGTCCAGATCATACAGGGAATATGTACCCAGGCCAGATCCTCATTATCACAGGGTGAAAAAAGATGTAGTTTATCTGAGCCAAGGAAACAGCAAAAATTTATACCAGCTCTGAAGATCATCAGACTGTATAAAAGGTAGGTCTTAGAGAATTTATAAAAGCATCCTCCAGGGTTTTAGGGGATTGACAGGGGCACAGATTTTCTTAAATAACAAAAGCAATGAAGCACACTGCCTGAGCTTAACAGAGATCACGAGGAGGCAATTCTCGCTCCAAATTAATATTCAGATATTTCAGAGATGTCAGGAAACCTCTCCCATGTGGTATGTTATAAATATGTGGAATGACCTTTCACAGCAAGGTTGTTCCCATAAAATGCTGGGCTCATTAAAAACAAATCCAGTAAGATGCCATATAGGGTGGACAGTGAGCACTGTAAATCAGCGGGGCCATGATATCTCTGATTAATTATGCCTATTGCCTTTTACTATGTTGCAAGGAAGGTTTGTTTTTCAGCATCTAAAAAGGAAATGTTCCATCCTTTTCCTCTGACCTTTTCTTGGTTCCTCTTTCCAATGCACCCCTTCCTCCTTCCCTTCCATCCCAGCTTTAATGGAGTCTCTTCACTTGTCACAAGGTCTTAGCTCCTTTGTTCCTACCACAATTATTACTTTATACTTCTGTCCAAGGATCATAAACCACTTTGCTAACATTAACTGTACCCCATAACACTAGGCAAAGAGTTGTATTAAAGGACTAAACGACTTCTTAAGATGACACAGGTCAATATAGGAACAGACCTCTCAGTCACCCACCTGAACCACGGTACCCCCCCTTGCCCATCAGGCCAGAAACCAACAGGGAAGATGGCAGCAGCAAAACATGCTGATTGCAGGGAACACTTCTCATTCACCCAGGGCAGCACCAGCCAAGGCAACAGGCCAGTGGGCAGTGGAGTGTGGTTCTCAGGAGAGCTGAGGCTTCTGTTCTTGACCTCAGGTTTCAGGGAGGAAGAAGTAAATGGAAGCAGGGCAGTCCTGCATTGTTCAAGGAGGGAACAGGAGCGGAGAGCTAAGCAGTAGGAGCTGAAGATAAGTACACCATAAATGCTTGGGTGGCAGGCGAGAAGAGTCTGCACCACAATAAGGGAACCAAGGTATTCTTTCTGTGGTGAACATACCTGAGATGGATTTCATACTGCCCAGCATGACGGGGCTGCACATTCCTCAAAACCAGGGTGAAGATATCTTCATTTTGCAGCATCTCACATCCTGTCCCGGCCTTTATTTCCTGTCCATTTTTAAACCAGTGAACTGTGGGGAATGGGTCTCCAGCAATGGCACAGGAGATGAGGACATTTTGTCCTGGAGCTGCTGTCACTGATCTGGGTTTGCTGATGAACCAGGGTTGAATACCATCCTGAGGTTCTGCAACACACAAACACAGGATCTGTGCAGGACTCAGAAATAATAATTAGCAAAAGAAACATCCAGGCCTAGATGCCATCAGCAAATGAACAATAGTGCGTGCAAAACACCCGTGGAGGAGCAAGGTTATTTTGCACACTTCACGGAATAATCTTTTAATTTGACAACTCAGCCAGGCTTTATCTTTGTGAGTTGCTCCTATTAATAGGCTACCGATGCTAATCAGTTGTATCATACTTTCTTGGCCAGATCCAAGCCCATAATAAGAGACATGCAAAAAGACGTTAAAACAGCCCTACATGGAGAGCTGAGGATGTTTTTCTCGGCTAATGTGGATCGGGGGGTGGGAAGGGCAAGTCAAGGGCAGGTGAGGGTTTGCTGGTGGGCACGTCAGTGTTATAACCCTTAAAAGGGCTCTTATGAGTCAGTGTAAAAGCCCAAACCATGAGGCTGAACCCAACAGGAGCAGGGTGAAGCCAGCATCAGGCCAGACAGCAAAGAGAAGAGCAACTACCCCAGCTCCTCTCCAGGGGTGCCTACTCACACAGTTCCCTCTAACCATGGAGAGAGAATGAATGAAGATCTTGCTCGCATAACGACTAGTCAGAGGCACGCCAAGATGAAAAGTCAAGATGTTGCTAGCTCACTGTGCTGTATGCCTGACTTCTTCTTTAGAAGAGATGGAGATGGGTGCATCTAAAAGCCCTATGCCCCTCTGTGAGGCATGTCCTTCCCTCTGCTTTCAAAGGCTTTCTGCATGCAGTTGTTTTGAAATGGTGGATATCAACCACTCCTCAACCCTTATTTTTATGATGCTAATAATAAAAGAAGGCAGAATGCCTGGCTCCTGGGCAGGTTTTCAAAATGCCTGAAGCTTTATAATTAGAAAGAAAACTAGCATTAAAATGGTTTACATTAAGTCCACAGCTAAATGGGCCTCAATAATTATAACCTGAATAGGATATAACAGTATTTGTGCAGTCCTCAGATTAAGCTGCCAGAATGGGGTCTTTTACATAGTGATGGGACATTTCAGGGTGAAAACAGAGGAACTGCTTCTGCTCAGTACTTCTCTTAGCTGAGTCCTGAGAGCTCACAGCTTCCTCCTTAACACAACTTATGCATACGCTATTTTATTTTGAATAGGCCCTCCTCCAGCATATATACTGTTGTCTTTATGCTCTTCCTGTACTTATGGATAGGAACACTTTCAGCTTCATACCTTGGACAGTCAAAGTTGCATGAGTCTGTGTTTCTCCTAAGTCATTCCAGGCTTCACAGGTATATTTGCCTGTGTCCTCAGGAAATACCTCCTGGATGTACAGGCTGTACTCATTGCCTTTCTTCTCAAAGTGAAAATCTTCTGTCTCCTGGATTTCTTTCCCATTGTGCAGCCAGATAATTTCAGGTGGGGGGTTTGCTGAGCAAAGCAAAAGAAAAATGCATCAACGTGACTGAAAATAGAAGTGGGGTTATCTGCCTTTTCAGATCTCAGATGAGACTAACTTCAGCTTTGGCACAGGCGGGCACAAATCCCACTGATTCCCCTCTATGTCGAGGGGTGGTCATAACTCTTGGAACATTTTGAAATGAGGTTCTACTTAAATATAGATCAGCCTGTTGTATTTTTCTCCCTGCCTCCTTTTCAGTTTATGGCTTGAGATCTGCATCAAAACAGGATCCATTTGCAAATCTGAATTTGTGTCTGCTCCCTCCCCCACCAAACTCAAGCCAAAATAACCTGTGCGTTCAGAGAAGAAAGGGTGGTGGCTTCATGTAGGGAAGTAGCAGAGGCAGGTGGACACCAGAAAAAACTGGGTTGCAAGCTTCTTGCTGAGGTTCCCAATAGGAGCACAAAGCACAGTAAGATCTCTTTCTCACAAGGCTGTCTTTGCTAATCACCTATTCTAATTCTTATGAAAGGCAAAATTGTTGCAAATGGAAAACTTAAGCCAAGGGATGCTAGGCTGGTTTTCTTTCATTGTTTTTAAAGGTACAGTATAGTGCCAGACTGCAATACCTTCACTCATGACGAATAGTGCTTTATGCCTATTAATCGGACCACTATTAATTGGACCGCTGGAGTACTAATGTACTGCTGAACACAAGTTAGGGAACCACATTGTTTGCAAGTTCATCCTCCAGCAACATTAATGCCCAGATCTGGTACTACGTAACATGGAGTCATTTGTAGTGTGATTCAGTAGAGATCATAAAAAGTAAGGTGGGGTAGGATGGAAAGTGATTTTTATGGACTCTGAACACAAGGTTGTGGTCAAAGATTTGTGCTACCACAGTTCACTGCAGGACCGCTCCATCTTCTACAGCACTAATCTTCTAGCAGTTGACAGCACTTCAGTCTTGTCTAGACTTAATGACATTTTGACAATAAGAATTTGCTATTACCTGGCTTATTATTCCACTAAAAGGGCCCTTCTACAGGTCTGAACACACCAACAAAAGGCAGTGTTCACTCACCCTGAAGGTTGATCAAGATGACCCTGTTTTTTGCTTTATTAAAATCGGTTCCTGGAAGCACAAAGGAAAGCACTGCATGGTTTAGTGATTTGGTTGTCTAGCATCTAAGGGCTTTTCTTTTCAATAACGTTGGTACCTGGGCTCCTTACCTGATACTTCCACGGTCATTATGACTTGACTTCCATCCATTACCTTGAGGTCAGTCAGACCTTTCAGGAAGACTGGTGCAAAGTTCTTGTTAGGCTGGATGGCCTGTGTGCCCTCCGCTTTTGAGCTGCTTTTTTTTTCTGTGAAAGAGAATAAAATAGTTATCTTCCTATTTTAATTTTTAATATTTATCTTCCTATTTTATTTTGGGAACACTCTCTACTAAAGTTAAGCTGCTCTGAGGCTTGAGTCAACTTCATTTTGAGATCTTAGCCCAGCTCCCAATGCTCAGATAAACATGTCACAAACCACTACCAATTCGGGCAATCCTCGCTTAACGCTGTTTCGCTTAGCGCTATTTTGCTATAACACTCATTTTAAATTGATACCCGATTGCACTTAGTGCTCAGCAAGTTTCGTTCTAACGCTCGCAGTCGCCATCTTGGGTCATTAAAAGCAATTGCAGTTGCCATCTTGGGTCATCAAATACTTTCAATTTTGCTTAACACTCATTTTGCTTAATGTCCGGTTTTTCAGGAACCAATTAAGAGCACTAAGCGGGGGCTGCCTGTATGGTCACATCTCTTCTCTGAGTATTAATGGAGACCTAACTGTCCTCCCTTTGGGAGAATCTCCTCAGAGCTGAGGTTTATTTCAGGATAGGACAAAGACATTTGCCCTTATTTTTCTTAACACTCCTGTCCTCATGCAGAGAGCTTTGGGCTCTGCAGCTGACAATCCAGTTCCTTTCATGGGTGCACATTAAAAGCTTTAAAAAGATGTAATACAAGTAGCTACTCTCATGACCCATGAGTTAAAACTTTAAACTTGCTGAAACATGGGATTTGCCATACCGAATCAAACTACAATTCATTTAGCCTGGTGGCCTGCCAATACCAAATGGATTAGAGGAGTGCAATCAACTTCACAACCCTTTCCTGTACTACAGCCTGCTAATGGTGTCATGATGGGGAGGTTTCCTTCACAAGCCCAGAGATGATCAGTTCATGTCTGGCAGCCTGAGCTGTGCTTAGCATCATTTTAGGATTCAGTAGTTAAAAATTATTTGTTCTTTAAAAAAATCCAGTTGTGGTAGGAGATTCCTACTACCTGTAATAGTATAGCCAGCTGAAGGGTTTCACATGGTATGAGGCTACTTTATTTGGCTAGATCCATCACATGGGGTAAGTGCATCTGCCTAATCACTCAAAAGAGCCAAGAGTGATCAGGACAAATGCAACGAGTCATAAAATACTTGTCAGTCATTTGGATACGCTTGCTGCCTGAATCTGTGAGCTCACTGATGGCAGAGACTGTGTTCCCTTGCACAGTGCCAAGCAGAGGCTTGGCTGACTATCAGTCAAAACAACTTCCCCTCATCTGTTCCCATCACAAAAGCTTTGGCCAACTTCCCCCTCCTTGAAGATTTTTACTGGTGTGTAACAAGCCACTTGAAATAATACTACAGTAATGCAGTGTGCTGGAGTGGGGTAGAGCAGCCCCCAACAAGCCAGGGAAATAGGGAGAACAGAATGGAGCATCTTTGAAGGGAGCTTGTTGAGCTGACCCGAGGACAATTTCCAACTCATTCACTCTTTGTGTGCTGTCTAACTTTGGAAGCAGAGCAGACCGGCATTTCCTCTAGCAGAGGTCTTTTTTTTTTTTTTTTTTTT